GGTGGAACTCAGAAGAAATGGAGTAAGTTTCTGAAGCCCTCATATGGAAGAGGCAGCATACTAAAAGCACATCTTACATGTTAGGCATTATCCATCCAGAACCACCGACGATCCACTTTTCTGAATAAAATCTATCTTTATCACAATTGCTGGGATTTTAGTCTTCTGAGAGCCAGTTTTACCAGCTCTCCAGCCTTTCAGCAGATTTAATTAGAAAGCCAATGCTCCTAACATTAGGAACTAGGATAAATGTATAAAGCTCAAGATTCAGTCATAGACCCCCCCTTTACATCATAAAGGGGGGAATTGGGGAGAAGAAAAAAAAAAAAAGTCACGTGTCCATGCACATCTTTGCAGATGACCTACACATTTTCCATTTCAAAATACTGCAGTACGCTTCCCCTTGAACACGAAAGCTAAAATGATTACAAATAAGATCATCTGTTTTAGGCTTTATTCTTCCCCAAAATAAAATACCACAAATTTGCAGTCTGCCTCATAGTTTTGCTTTTAGATTCTGCTGAACTCATCACTGAAAGTACCAGTTGAAAGAAAACTAGCTACCTCCCTCAAAAGGGAAGTGTTATTCTAGATATACTGATCTATAAGAGAAGGAAAGTGTGTGCCCTGTGCTGACAGTCAGCATAGCTCTCGTGGTACTGTAAGGGATACGGTGAGATACGATCCAACCCACAGCCACATCCACTAAAAACTTCAAAACACAGGTAGCTACCCAAGATACATGGGTATGTTACAAGTTCAGAAAAATCTCACATTTCAAGACAGCGTTGAGTCTACTCTTCCCCTTCTGGCAAGCAGCATGTTTATGGCAGACCTGAGTACGGGAATTATTTCACACCCCTACATAACTTAAGGAAGATATAGGCCAGACAACAGAAAATACTCTGAAACAGCACAGAATTGGCAATCTCAACATACTTACAGGCAGATAAGCATATCGCACCGTAATTTAAGTTATTGCTTCTTGTGGATAAGTGTGATATTCCTTGATCAAGACACGTGACTTGTTTGGTGTTTATTTTTCCCTTCTGAAGCACAAGACCACTGTAAAGATGTTTTTAAAATGAAGGTGTTGCCTATGACTAGAGCTACATGTGCTGCTCAGTCCTTGCTGACTGACTGACACAGCTAGTGACAGAAAGCTTACCTAAGTGCATTCCCAGAGGCATCTTCAAACCCAGGCATCACTCTCCTGCTTCCAGGGCCATTCTAGGCTTGCTCTATAGTACAGATTTTGATAGAAGAAAACCTCCCAAAGTCTTTCTGAGTAGATTTATGGATACCAAGAATGACTAATGAGGATCTAAGGCTGGACTCTTATCAGGTCCTCAGATAATCCAAGGTACTGCTGCTCTACCACGCCAACAGAAGCAGCAGCAGACTCTTGCCTGCAAAACCGCGCATCAGTGCAAGCTAGTGCCCTGCTTTCCACACACTGCTCCTAACTGCTGGGTCTTTAAACCAGCTACTTCCATCTGAATAGAGATAATTAAGGTTTTTGAAAGAACAGTAAATGAACTAGAAATATGAACTACTGATCCTAAGCTGTAAACAGATTTATGCTTATAATATTTACCTACTTAATCCCCAAGCCAAAGGCTATCTATGGCCCCAGAGCACAGGACACCAAAACGCTTACCTACCCCCTTTACATCATTACAGGTAAGTTTCTGTAGGCATAAAGCCAACAGTAAAACATTAAATAAATGCAAGCGTAAAAGCTTTACTCTCAGAAGACAGCAGAGATTTAAAACATCAGAAAAGTGGGCTTGGAGGCAACACCACTATTTCAGTATTACACGTGCAGTAAGTCCACACCATCCTCCCCCATGACAATACAAGGCAACACAAATATTCTCAGCTAAAAAGGAATTGGTACAGGGAATGACTGTACATTTGATGTGACCCACTGAAAAAGAGAATACAACAGGGCCCCACAGTTACAGGTCCAGCTGAAACCAGTGATGCAAGCCCAAAAATGTAGAAACTGCACCAGCAATTACAACAATTATCTAGTTTGGACTCCTTCAGATTTGCAGCATAACAGACATTTCACAGAGCCACGTTCAGGAGAAAATGTTATCCAGGTAAGAACTGCTCTGCAAGCAAGACAGAGTTTAACAACAAGCACTGCATTTGCTCTCCAGATAGCAGCAGTTGCTCCCATTCTAGCAACAGAAATACGTACTTAAATAACAACAACAAAAAAGCAGAATTATGTATGTACAAGAAAAATGATCCAAGTGTTGTGCAATTTAACTATTGAAACCCACTAAAAATGCTGTTTCCAATAAATATTCATAAATTCTTCCCTGTGCTGTGAAACTCAGAGACTACTATGATGAATTCTCGATATAAAAGTACGTTTCTAAACCCTGACATCTGTTCCAGTTTATTGTCTTTTTTATTGTCTTTTTTCTTCTTCTTTTTTTTTTTTTTTTTTAACTGTGACACTTTATGGGATACTAATACTTATGCACAGTTTTATTTGGCGCACCCCCCAGAGACATCTTGTGTTTCATAGAGCCCTGGTTATACCAACATAACACAGTAAAGTAATAAATTAAAGAAATGCATGTGCATTTAAAGGAAAAAAAAGAAAACACAACAAAACAGCACTAAACCACACTGTCAAATGCTGGTCTCCTCATGAAGAGACCAAGGATTTAGATGCAAGTACCACAGATCCTGCCATCAAAAAAATGTTCAAAGAAAGAAACAAAAACTTGCATGTGTTTTAAGAATTAAACAGAAATTCCACCTTGATGTCATCTCACACAGGCCTACAAAAACTTCTTTCTGTGCCCACATTTGCAGTTATTCAATTACAGCTCAGGAAGCAGCCTGGAGACGAGAGTAGTACAATAAAATAATTACCTGAAACACTTTTAAAAAAATACCCGTTAAACAAATTACCTTAACTGGCAGCACTTAAAATTGGTAATTCTTTTTTTTTTTTTCTTTCCCCTATTTAAAAAAAAGTTGCATAGCTGTAAGATTTTGCTTTGCTGCATTTTTTGTTTTGTTTTGTTTTTACTCACAAGCAGTAAAAGAGAAGTTTTAGTTAATTAAATAGCAATATAATGTGCAGATTTCAACAATCCTTATAGCTTGATCAATATAAATCAGTCGCCTGTCTTGGTTTTACTCTTTGGACTGCATTGTGACAAAGGTTTAGTTACAAAATTTTGAATATAGTATCCTTACGCAGAGTTTGTTTTCTGTTCTTGAAAAAAGTGAAGAACGTAAAACAGGGTGTGAAATCAGTAAATTAAGGTCACACTGTTAGATTGTATTTAGTTTGCCATTTACTCTTCTTCAGCCAACAAGAAGGTGAAAATGTTCCTGCTGAAAACAAGGGACGTTACT